CTCTAACAAACCTTGATAAGAAGTGCAAATTGTTTTTGACAATACTTTCCATCTGTTATTAGGAAACTTAGGGTGCTATTCATTTTTTTAATAAAAATATTTCATTTCTGTTTTCGTATACATCATAGTGTATTCAGCTCAGAGCTGTTTGCTTGAAAGGAAACCATCTGACCAGCATGTAAAATGACACTGTGAAAAAACTTTTACTCTCATCTTCTGTGATCTTTTCAGAGCTTGGAGTTTTCAAAACAGTGTTGTTTTATAACCAAAACATAAAAAAATCTAATTACTGAAATAACACTGAAATAATATTAATAAAAGAACACTTGTGCACAAGCAGTTTCCAGTGTTGTGTGCAAAAGTTGAAAAGGCTGTAGTGTTTACCTGAATGCTCTGTATGGAGTGGTGAGTGTGAAAGAGCGTTTGTTTTCACCATCTCTCACATTTGCCATTCGCATGTCAATGTCAGTGATGCCCATGCCCTGGAAATATTCCTATACAAAAACACTCATGCTAAATATCAATCTCTCAAACCCAACAAAACATCTAGAGAGAAATCTATTCTCATTCAGACTCGCACCTCATGGCTCTTGAAGAGGAAGAGTTTGTCTCTGTTGATCAGCGTGTAGACTTTGGTGCGTGGTGACAACATCTCCAGGTAGCCCTCGAAACTAACACTCACACTTCCGTTTTTAAAGAACAGATTCCGGGGCTCCAGACTATGTTTTCGATCACTCAGTATCTTTTCAATACAACTCACCCAGTCATCTCTTTCCTCTGTGAAATGCACACAAAAAATATACATTTTAATCATTTGCAGCTTGGATGGAAAAACAGGCTTGTAGTAGACACTGCAAAATGGTTTAGAAAGACTAAGAGAAACGATGGACAAATACACACGAGTGTTTTCAGCTCGAAAAAGGAACGTCCGGCTTTGACTGTGAAGCTCAAACCGAACATCTCCGACACTGACCACCTTAAAGACAGATCCCAGAGACACCATTCTTTTAGAGTACACCTCCTGTCATGGAAAGAGAGTCAAATTAACTGCCTTGTTAATAGCGTTCATAACAAAAAACAGCCTGAGAAAATTTGAAAATATTTCTTTAAATACAACCCTGCATTTTGGATCATTTTATTTAAAGTCTTATCCTGGTGACTGCATAAATGCATTTTTTATGCTGTATTTATGGTCCTAAAAAGGAAGATAAGATGGAATATTAATTTTGGATCCAAATAGGGTAAGTGACATGAATGTCATTTTTGGGTGAACTCATTCATTTTCCTTCAGCTTAGTCTCTATTTCAAAGGTTGCCATAGTGGAATGAACCACCAACTATTCCAGAATATGTTTTACCCAGCGGATGCCCTTCCAGCCACAACCCATTACTGGGAAACACCCATACACACTCCCATTCAGACACTACGGCCAATTTAGTTTACTCAATTTACATATAGCGCATGTCTGTGGACTGTAGGGGAAATCAGAGCACCTGGAGGAAACCCACGCAAACACAGGGAGAACATGCAAACTCTACACAAAAAGCCTCCTAGCCCAGCCGGGACACGAACCAGCGACTTTCTTGGTGTGACGCGACGGTGCTAACACTGTGACACATTTTTGAATAAACTACTTTTTTAAGCTGATGTCATTTATTTCATTTCATTGAGTCTGCAAAATGGATTATAAGGATTTGACAACAAAGTGTTAAATACAAAATGAAAAGGGATCTGAAATACATATAGTATATTTGGAAATTTAAAGTTTCCCCTTTTTACATTTTTCAGTTACATTTCCCATAGACTAATGTTCACTTTAAGAAGTGAGATCAGGTTATATACTTTAATAGTTTTCTATAACACAGTTTTCATTCATGGCTATTTATTAAAAGATTTCTACACATAAAGATTTTTTTTAAACACCAGAACTTCTGGAATGTAAATAAAAACAAAGGTAGCATTTTTTATTCATGCTGGAGGGAAAGAAAAGGAACATTCCGTTCTTTCTGGTAAAACTACAATCTGGTAAAACATTCCTTTCCTTCTGGTACAACTACAGTCTGGTAAAACGACAGAATAAAAAAAAGGATATTGATGGTTTTCAAGATTTCCTGCAAGTTATTTAATTACAAGTTGACAGAATCTATATGAATAGAAGGTGGAAAAATACCACTGATTTTTTGATTACCTTAATAGATTGAAAATATCTCAAATATTCTGAATCCAGCTGGACCCATCTCCGCTGGTAAATCCTCCCACTGAAAATATAAGCATGTATATTATATATTTATAAAAATGCAAACAATTCAAGTTTAAAAAAACAAGGAAGAAGATTTCATTATGCCACTGCAAAAGATATCCAAATGTTTGTTTTTTCTTACCCTTTTGGAGGAGTTTTCTCCAGCCAGCCTGCTTTAACAATCTGACGGAAGTCTTCTTTGAGCTCGGGATATTCTGTACATCTTATATCAATACTGTCCACACTAATATAAACAATCTCTGTATTAATATTACATAAAGCAGGTTACCTTTTGCTAAAAGCTTACGCAAACACACACACACACAGCAAATATCAATGTAAAAGTACATTTTTGTTTCGCGCGCATACCGTTCCCTCTCAGTAATTGTCTCCTCTTTTTTATCCTCTACAGTCTTCAGGTTGAAGAAGCACTTCTGCATGTCTCGCAGCACATCCTCCTTCTAAAAGAAATTTAGGCATTAGAACCAAAACAGTTGATGAAAATTATATTTAACTAAACAGAAAATCTATCAAACAATAATTAGTAATGGAAATCAATATCACAGATGAAAGATTTTGAACTTTCTAAACATAAATTTAAAAGATTGCATATTTAACCATTTGTCATGCACAGATGGACAATTTAGGGCATCACGGGGATGCAGTGGGTGGCACAATCACCTTACAGCAAGAAGGTCGCTAGTTCGAGCCCCAGCTGGGTCAGTTGGCCTTACTGTGTGGAGTTTGCATGTTCTTCCCATGTTGATGTGGGTTTCCTTCGGGTGCGGGTCCCCCACAGTCAAAAAACATGCAGTGTAGGTGAATTGAATAAACTAAACTGGCTGCAGTATATGTGTGTGAATGCAGGCGTGTATGAGTGTTTCCAAGTGTTGGGTTGTGGCTGGAAGGGCATTCGCTATGTAAAACATATGCTGGATAATTTGGCGGTTCATTCCACTGTGGTGATTAATAAAGGAACTAAGCCGAAAATAAAATAAAGAAAGAAGATGCACAATTTACCTTTAAAGACATCTTCTGGGATTTTGGCGTGCACACCTTTGAAGCACACAGGACACACAAGTAAATTATCATGACGAAACTAGCAACCAATTCAATCAACATTGAATGCAAACAAAAATAGAGTTGTAAACTGAGAGTCGTCAAAATTTATAAAATACTAAATAAATCAGATCACTAACTGTGCAAAGTTCCAAACCATCTTGACATTTGTTTACTAATAAAAAAACACAGCCATCATGTTATCTCTATCATTAGCATAGAGAGTTTTAACCAAGTTTTCACAAATGACAACCATCCTGAGATCGCTTAACATATGATCTATCTAAAACCCTGATCTTTATCAAAACTCATGTGAAGCTATGACTATATAATTACAACTTACAAAAACATCTCTTCCGCCTTACCCCAATTTACTGTAACAAATGCAATGAAGCTACCAAACCTGATGCACAGCATTTCTGAAAGTTCTCGAGCTCATAGACTAACATACACAACCTTTGAAAATATCAGAAGTAACATCAGTAACAATGGTCCTTTAAGCGCACACACACAATAATGCTCTTCTTCGCTGTGGTTAAGTATGGGAAGTAAGTTCAGATTTGTGTTCTTTATGAAACCAAATATTAACTCAAACATTTTCTATTAAGCTTGTGTATGAAAAACAGACACAATTAAAAGAACTGACTCCGGCAACAGTAAGTGTTTACAAAACTGTGCAGGAATAGAAACCATTGCTGTAATGCTAATATTAAAGGTATTAATGTAACTTTAATATTAAATGTTACTTTATTCATATCAGGTATTTGTCCGATATCAACACTTGTAAATTTAAACTAAATCAGACTATGTCATGAAGCACTAGGGATTAAGAAACACTTTCTCTAATATTTGTTCTCATATGCCAAGATATCCTTCTCAAAACAAGTCTTACTGAAAAACTTTATTATTAATTTAAACTGTATTGTTTAAACATGCAGTAACAATCAGCAGTGTTAGTCTTATTCAATAAAACAATGGAGAACACTTTTTAGTTGGATGTTAGTAACAGAGAAAAGTTAAAAGTTACCGGTGTGCTTCCAAATCTCTGCCAAGCCCTACTGCAATTTAAGGCATTTATATACAGACACACACACACACACACACACACACACACACACACAGAGGCAGAGAGCGAGCGAGAGAGAGAGAGAGAGAGAGAGAGAGAGAGAGAGAGAGCTCTGCCTTGACAACAAGGAAGTTTAAGGATCCATTTGGCAAGTATTTGTGTTTCTACTGTTTAAACTTCAATGTCTATTTACGAAGTGTTAAACTTAAGATGTTATTATAAAAACAAGCTTAAGAGCACAGTGCTGAATAAATGAACTCTGAAGTCAATGTTTTGATCAATTCATATTACAATGTTGTTGTCTGCTCTCTGTATTATGCATGAGTAGCAGACAGCAGGTGACTGGCATTTAGTAAGGAAGCAACTGTTAAAGGAACGATATGACCACAGCCATATTATCCTGCTGCCCCAGACCGGTTACTCGCTGAAGCTAAGCAGGGCTGAGCCTGGTCACTACCTGGATAGGAGACCACATGGGAAAACTAAGTTGCTGTTGGAAGTGGCGTTAGAGAGGCCAGCAGGGGGCGCTCAACCTGCGGTCTGTGTGAGTCCTAATGCCCCAGTAAAAATAAAGGGGAAACTATACTGTCAGTGGGCGCTGTCTTTCAGATGAGATGTTAAACCGAGGTCCTGACTCTCTGTGGTCATTAAAAATCCCATGGCACTTCTCATAAAGATGTCCTGGTGTCCTGGCCAAAGTCTCTCAATCGGCCCTTACAGTCATGGCCTCCCGATCATCCCCATCCACTGGTGTCGTTATCCTGTAGAGACCCCCCCCCCCCCCATTACGATTCACTCAAAACTGAAAAATCTGTTATCATTTAATCATTTATCATGTGTGATGAAAAAAACACACTAAAATAGGTGGTATGTGTGTAGCCTACAGTTCAGTACTGGACCTATTTTTGTGACAAGTGAAAGTAATGAAGTCCTGTACATTTGTGTTTCATTTCAACTTTTGTATCTGGAGGTGGTTTTCCATACCTGCTGCAGCTGCTCAGTCAACACCACTGAAAAACAACAATTAATCAACACAAAGGCTACAGGCCCGTAGCCAGCCTGGTAAAGTGCCTCTTCTTTTTTTCTCAAAAAGTTGACTTTTTTTGCAATTTTCTATTTAATTATGAGGTTTAAATATTGCATTTTAGTGAAATCTTAAAGGTTCAGGACACCCCAGAGAACTTTTTTTTTAATATTAACAGATGTGTGTGTGTTGAGCATTAGTTAAGACAATGTTAACACCTGTCAGCTTTAATTGTGGGGAAAACTGGATAATTTTGAGCTTTTGTCAGCTAATTTCAGCTTCCGGGTTTAAAATGAATTTTGGGGCGGGATCAAAATCGGCGACGTAGCACAGAACTGCAAGTGCAATGATGACGCGTCGCTTTCTCATTATTATTCATAGCGGAGTTTTCTTATCCTATGAGAAGAGCCGGCTGCTTAATTATTCATGAGACCTGCCAGACCTGCCAGTGTCAAGCCCGAGCTGAGAGACACGGAAACCACGGCACAGTATTTAGCCGTTCATGAAGGCTCATATGCGTTTGTTTCCATCATCCACGGGGTTTGTTGCATGCTTTCCCCCGCGATCTTGTCAGGGCCGATCATACAGCAAAGCTGTATGTGTGTTGCTAGCATTTTTGTCGGGAGAGCAGCACGAGAATTGGAGAATGGCGGACGCTGTCTTTTATCAGGAGTTCGTTCACATTCAGACACATCGCCATGCTGCTGTGTTTGCCTAAATCCTCCAGATTACCAGCAGGGTTAATGGTTAAAATAGACGGGTCAGGAGACCTGCTGCACTGAGTCTGCTGGATACGGGGATTGAGGGAGAAGTCCTCATTTATAGTGTTTACATGAACACGATCTTTATAATGATATAAATTGTGGTTGTCTGTATATGAAATTACGAATAACAAATGTAGCAGGGCATTAAATTACTGTTTATTTCTTTGCATTTTAACTTTGTAAACTATAAACTCATGCGTCTCCTCTTTGTGTCTCATTTTGTGAGCTGTCAACAGCAGTTATTCGCTCCGCGGAGCTCCACGCCCATTAATCATGCATCTTTTGAAAAAATTCTGAAGTAGACTTTAACCGAAAGAGGGGGGTGTCATGGCCCTTTAAGCACTATTTTTAGCTGTATTAACTTGTGGGAGGTCCTTATAACCACAGTTTTTGATGTACCAAACATATCTCCTAAAGATTTACAATAAAGAAATATCCTAAAAATATATGTGTGTTTTTTTAAATACAAAATTATTACATTATAAATCATTAAAAAAAGAATCTGTTAAAGTTTTTAATTAAAAACAGTGGCCTACTGTCATTTATTAGGCAAATAACAAACTGGCCAGATCATTCGACTTTCCTCAGTCAGAATTTGGCCATTTGGATGATAGAAAATTCTAATATTCATTCATTTTCTTGTCAGCTTAGTCCCTTTATTAATCTGGGGTCGCCACAGCAGAATGAACCGCCAACTTATCCAGCAAGTTTTTACGCAGTGGATGCCCTTCCAGCCGCAACCCATCTCTGGGAAACAGACACAAACACTCATTCACACACACTCATACACTACGGACAATTTAGCCTACCCAATTCACCTGTACCGCATGTCTTTGGACTGTGGGGGAACCCGGAGCACCCGGAGGAAACCCACGCGAACGCAGGGAGAACATGCAAACTCCTCACAGAAACGCCAACTGAGGCGAGGTTCGAACCAGCGACCTAGCGACCTTCTTGCTGTGAGATGATAGCACTACCTACTGCACCACTGCCTCGCAAAATTCTAATATAATATTAATTAAAAATAACAATAGAAATTATTATTACTATTAATTGATTCATTCATTTTCTTTTGGGCTTAGTGTTGGACAAAGGTTGATTAGCTAAGGTCACGCTGAAGCAAAAGCCAACAATATTTTCACTATTTGTGGTGGCAAATCAGTCAAAATAAAACAATTGAGCTCATGTATGGGACAAATTCTGGCCCTTTGTCGGTGAGGGTTTGGTCTTTCGAACAATCCAAACCCCCCTAGCTACAGGGCTGGGATACAGCATATGGGGATACAGTACTGTACAAAACAAATGTTTTTTCCTCTCAAAAACACAGAAGGGAGCCTGACAGTTCTTGTAAGTAACGTAACAAAGGTATTAGATCTCTTCAATCCTGAAGAGGAGCAAAAAATACATTTATATTACCAGTCAACATCAAAATTAAATTTTGCCTTTCTGGTTGAATTTCACTGCATAAACTAGGCTAAACATAAAACACCAAAGACTGTATACATCAACAATCTCATGTGTATAATAGCAGATAGAGTTCATCATACTTACTGCCCTCTATTGACTGGAACAGTGACTGAAATGGGAGTTTTGGTTGAGTTTATCAGTTTGTAAAGGTTTGTGTACGCAGTATCATTTGCTGGTCACCCTTAAGTTTTTTTAAACATTAATGCAAATATTCAAACACGTATCTGTTATCTAGGTAAAGAAAGATGACACACGGCCAAATGACAAAACCCATTATGTTATTCACCCTTACTAGATTCAAACGCGGAAACACCATGCGCATGCGCGGAAGTAAGGGAAGCGATTGGATGTGAGCTGCGCGCGAAGAAAACATTGCTTCAAACCAGCTTCCGCAATCGCCGTGTTGAGACGCATGCTTTTTCCAAATGAAAATCCGTAAAAAATAAACAAAAACATGGAAAGCAATAACGTTGAAGAGGTCACCGATAAGTTTGGGGGGTAAGTAATCGCATATGAAACGGTCGCAGGTATTTTGCTATAAAGCAGTTTAACATTATTTTCCAACTTGACATTGCCATTGTACCTTGAAGAACATGGCTTTATGCGCTTTTACTTTTGTCTTGTTGCAGCTGTCTGTCTTTAGACACGGAGAAGATGGGAAAATACGACAGGTAACGTTAACGTTAATCAGACTAAATGCTTCTTTAATTCGCTGTTGTTTTTTCAACATCTGATCTCGGCAGACTGTATTTTACTGTCCACACTGTTTTGATGGAATTAAACCTTTATACTCCTTGCAAATGTTAGATAGCTGCTGCTTTAATTTCATACTAATTATTTTACACTGTCATACAAGTCGATACAAAGTGCAACTGTTACTTTTAGGGTAGTTGGGAGATGTTATATCAAGTTCGTATTCTCTCTGTGTGTGCCTGCTTTGTTTATACTAACGTTACATTATAAAACATGATTTATACATGGAATATTTCTTTAAACATTATTAATGTTATCTAAAACTGCATAAATGCAAACAGGTTCAGTGATGGAAAATATAGTTTTGGTTAGTATATGAGTAAGTCTGGAAATTCCCCACAATTACCAGAAACTCCTCAAAGGGATATTAAAACCTGAGATTTATAGACCATTTTGAGGTATGTAAACAAAAACAATGGTCCTGGTGGATTTCTTGTTATATGTTTTAAATTTCCATAGCTTCTGAGAGTCCAACACGTTCCACATACTGATAAATAATGTTTCAATAGCTGGTAAACAACCAGTTAAGATGGAATCGTCTCTTGTTACAGATATGAAATATTTTGACAACAAGCAGGAAATGTTCATGGGCCAATGACTATTTTCTTAAAACATAAAAAACCTAAACTATGTTGAGTAATAATAAAGTATAAAATTAAAACATGTATTATGTAGAGATAATGTTGGTTTTGGAAATACTTTTAATAAAAAATATATTTTTGGGCAGTATATATATATAAAAAATTTTGGAAACACCCTCAAATTTACAGACGCTCATGTGTGGGTGTGTTTGTGTGTTAGGGCTACTCAACCTTTTTTTCTGCAATATATGTACAACTTTAGATGACTTGAATAGTGCTAGAAGGAAATGATGTATTGTTTTAAATAATTCTGTAGTGAATCATGCATAAATGGTAATAAACAAATTACAAGCATCAATGAATACAATAGTACAAAAATAAAAGTTAAATAAACAGTGATTTATGTTTTTTTTTCAGGGTAGTCTATTACTAAGGTACAACATAGAATAATCACTAATGTAATGTAATCAAACCAAACTGTAAAATAACTCACTGTATAAATAATTTGATACAATAATTGTTTATTAAATTTACAAATGGTCAAATTTCTTGTTCTTGAATGCTTTAAACTCTCAAGCCTTAAAACATGCAAATTATAAACTTTTACAGAATTATGTTTCAACTAGGGGATTGCAATATTGCATTGACATTAAAATATTTTGTTCTTCTGTGGTATTTATAGTGCGATATGAGGACAGCCATAAGGCTTTAATAGCTCTATCTGGAAAGAATATATAATTTTAGATAGATTGGTTCTGTATAGGAATACATCCTCATAAAATACAAACAATCTACAAGGATAGACAAATGCAAAATAGAAAATGATACAAGGGAAATAGCGTAACAATGACATCACCTTGTAGGCAAATCGGCTACATGCATAAAACTGGTTCCCTCGAAAAAATCCCTATAGGATTTTCCCAAAGGCTTTTCAAAGGTTACAAATAATAAGCTCTGTTTTCAACCACTGTTTATTACACGTACACGTTTTGTCTAGCCGGATAATCCTCACACAAAAATACAACTTTGAGCACTTTTAGATCTTAAATGCAAATACAAGAAATGAAAAGCTAACATTAGGCTATAAACGGAGTACAGTGCCCTCGGGGCACTTGTCTGTGACATCAGCGCCACCCTGCTACAGACGACTATTTTTAAAAATAATGTCCATGACAAAGAGTTAATCTCTCTATTTATTATATTATAATCCACGTTATATTTTTAACAAATAAATACGCACTAACACATAGACCTATATGCCTTTTGGATCGTTTTTACGTGGGAATACATCTGTTTTACTTTATAGTTGTTCTAAAAGTTTTAAAACTTTATCTATAAATGTGCCTACATAGTATTATCATAAGTCATATTTAAATAAGTGTATCGCTCAAGTGCAAACAGCCTGCTTACCTTAACATAAATTACCTTACCCTAAATGTGTACAGATGAAGAAAAAAACGATGAAAAATCCCTTGTTCACAGGAAAATGACAGTTAACGTGCATGTATTTTTACACATTTATTTACACGTTTGCATTTTGAGAGCAGTACAGAGGCAGACTGCATTGGTAAGCAGTATCTTCATAATGTCGTTTAATTAAAATAAATAATCAACAAATTAATCTGTCTTGGCAGTCTTTACAAGTGAAGCATTATCTACACACAATATGAATTCCCAATTAAAAAACACTAAAAACGATAAAATACTATTTATGAAAATACTTAAATCACAGACAAATCCAAATGACAAACACAAGCGAGCTGCACTCCAGACCAGCTTAGCTTGATGACGTATAATGTCTCCGACACCGCCTGTAGTCCTATTTAGCAACTTGATAGCAACGGTCTTTTTAAAAAGCGTAACCGATTTAAAAAATCAAGAGTGTGATGTAACTGATATGTTTTATGTCGTAGAACAAAACGTGAAAGTATCTTGAGTTTGTGTTAGCCACGAACCTTATTTAAGCAATTTTACTGAAACCCCATTCAAAAAACCTATTGACTTTAGGATGAGGGAACCGGAACTGCTAAAATGCTAACTCGCTTTCAGGTTTTTGCATATAAATTAACGTCATGGTTCCTCCACTCTATAAAGAGTGTTTTATTGTCTTCTGAGGAGTATTCTGGTGCAATAATTGAAATGTAAATAAAATCCTCATACAGTCACAGGCCTCAAAAACACATGCAAATGATAAATTATAATCCAGACTCAACATTGCATATCCTGTGATGTGCCTATTGTGACAGGTCACATTGTGATTATCAATGCTGAAACAATATATTGAGCAGTCCTAGTTTCAACTGGGCAATAACTCCACAATTATCATGTGCTGCTTACCTCAACATTGCATGTTCTGCGATGTGACTATTACAGATTCACACAGTGCGATATCAATGCTGAAATGACATTGTTAAATTTTCAAGCAAATCGATACTTGTATATTTGATAAATTTATATTAGCTAAATTTTAAAAAAAGCACACATACACCGTTTCGTTGGCATGCAGAATTAATAGGAATTCTTTTTTCTTCACATCAACAGTTGTTTGTTTACTTTATCAGATTGCTGTATTAAATTGTATACTTTTTTCACCAAGCCTTTTTAGCCTATTTTACACTTGAATATATGCGTGCGTGGGTGGAGTGTTGGTGAAATGTTTATGAACCCCTAATATAATATATTATTATATATCTATCTATATTAAAATGCGTGCGTGGGTGGAGTGCTGGTTGAATGTTTATGAACCCCTTACAGAATAATTGTAACAAAATAGGTTGTGATACAAAATGCATGTTTTTTTTTTTTTGTTTTTTTTTTGTTAGAAAATTGTTCTGAGTAAGTGTACATAAAATGTTTACAAACGGTTAACAAGACAAATAATCTCTGCTGTGTGTGGTGACTTTCCTTTTTCAATGTGATGGTTTTCATGATTCGCTTTTTGTTCTAATAAATCATCCGTGTCCAAAAGATCCTGAAGGGTATTGCACAAAAAAAAGATAAGAGATTAAGCTGGGATTTTGAGGCTATCCTGGCTGAATTTAGCCATGACTTAGTCGCATGAAAACAAGCTAAATTAAGTTACTATGGAGATTTATTCTTTGCAGCTAGGCTACTCTAGAGCAGGCTAACAGCCAGGCTAAGATTAATCCTACAGATCTATATGTTAGTTTCATTGTCAGTTCTACTAGAAATTAATGTGTTTTACAGTCACTCCATGCTCTTGGCTATTTACATATATTTTCCAACCATTAGAATTAAAAATTGTGAATTAAAAGTGTTAAAATGTTTTCAGAATCATTTTATATATATCCATTTTAGATTTAAATATAGGGGTTGATAACAGAGAGAAAAAAATAGATGAATGATTAGAGGAAAAATACATATACAGTGCTCAGCATAAATGAGTACAGCCTCTTTTAAAAATAAATATTTTTATCCATTTATATATTTTATATGTGTATATTATATATAATTAGTTATATTAATTTAAACATCAATAACATCTGTAGTACAAAATAGATTTAAGTTCAAAGAGAAAAATAAATAAAAACTACAAACTAGATATATATATATAGTTAAAGTCAGAATAATTTTTTTAAACAATGTTTAACAGAGCAAGGGAATTTTCACAGTATGTCTGATAATATTTTTTCTTCTGGAAAAAGTCTTATTCGCTTTATTTCGGCTAGAATAAAGGCAGTTATTAAATTTGAAAAATAATTTTAATGACACAATTATTGGCCCCTTTAAGCTATTTTTTTTTTTGATAGTTTACAGAGCAAACCATCATTAAACTAACTTTCCTAATTACCCTAACCTGCCTAGTTAACCTAATTAACCTAGGTAAGCCTTTAAATTTCCAATAATTCAGGGGGTTAATAATTCTGACTACTTTAACTGTAGTGTGTGTGTGTGTGTGTGTGTGTGTGTGTGTGTGTGTGCGCGCATATAATTATTTAATCTATTATGATGTTTCATCATCATCAAAAAAATAGACTCAATTAGAAAGAAAATGTGTAAATGAATGAAATGTTCATGTAGATAAAGTTTAAATAAACTTTATTAAATAAACTAAACAGATAAAACATATCTGCAATATTTGGTAAGTGTTTGCAATAATCTTCACAGTAAATTCAATAGGAGCATGAATGTCCCCTGGTCACGTTTAAGACAAAGTGAATGATTTATTTTATTAATTCATCCTACCTTATAATGAGACTTCCTGGATTGGTGGGTGAGAATTGTGTTTTTCAACTCATTACCTAATTGGCTCACATTGGCATTATCCATACTTGCATCATTGTTTCTGTGATTGATCCCATGATCTGTTACCAAAATGCCGCGAATGTGGACTTATCCTGGCTATATCGGTCCAGGGCTCATTCTCCTGGATTAGCAAACGTGGGACGTAAGCCAGGAGGACCCGATTGAGCGAGGTCACGCTGCGTTTTTTTTTTTTTTTTTTAATCCTTTCTTGAATTCACTTTTGTGCAATACACCTCAGGACTACTGAAGAATCTGCAGGACATGGATTTTTTTCTGAAGAACAGCTGGCAATTAAACTATACATAACAAACAAGAGACTCATAAACCATCGTCACAAGTAAAAAAAAATTTTAAAAAAAAGTCGTAGATCATCCAGGCAATAACACAACATTAAATAACACTTTAATAAATATAACTGTGTAATGAAACTTTTGTTAAAATGCACCAAAATATATCGGATATATTATATATCTATCTATATTACAACATTACACTTTGGACAGAATGCATTGTGACAAAATAAAGTGAGTATATTTAATTTTAAATCTGCTAACAAAAAAAAGCACAATTTGATTAACTTAAGTTTTGATGCTAGACAAAGAGAAATATCATGTCCATTGTATACAGTCTGACTGAGTTATTTATTGAATTAAAGGTTTTATAGATCTAAAATGCTAATTAGCAGTCAGAAGAATAAAAACTTCAGTAATACCAACTAAAATGCTGAAAATGTACGTTTGTGTATAACAATAAAAAATAGCATGTGTGGTTTAAGTGTTGTTGTTAGTCTGTGGTTGTATTTTGTGCTGAGGTGTAACAGTTATTTGATTATTTTTGCAGATATCGGCAGAAGGGGAAGGAGGCTGCCCTTAACGGTGAATTGCCTCGTGCACTTGAGCTGTTTCAGCTGGCCTACCAGCTGCAGCCTAGTGAAAAGCTGAAGAAACGTATTCAGGCCATACAAGATCTCATTCAGAGAGAAGATGAGGAAGATGAGGAGGAGGAGGAGGAATTTGTTAATGTGAATAATAGTGGATTAAAGCTTTATAAAGGGCTCTATGACAAACTGTATGACCATCAGAAAGAGGGAGTAGCGTTCCTGTACAGTCTTTACCGAGACGGAAGAAAAGGAGGGATCCTGGCCGATGACATGGGCTTGGGGAAGACCATCCAGGTCATTTCATTTTTGTCAGGGATGTACGATGCCGAGCTGGCCAATCACACCCTGTTAGTCATGCCGACTTCACTTATCAAGAACTGGGTGCGCGAGTTTGCCAAGTGGACCCCTGGCATGAGGGTGAAAGAGTTTCACGGCTCCAGCAAGACTGAGCGGAACAGAAACCTGGAGCGAATCCAACGTAAGGGAGGAGTCATCATCACCACCTACCAGATGCTCATAAACAACTATGAGCAACTTGGATCAAATGGCCATCGTGAGTTCAAATGGGACTACGTCATTCTAGACGAGGCTCACAAAATCAAAACCTCGTCCACTAAAACGGCTAAAAGTGCTCACGCCATTCCTGCGAAAAACCGTGTGCTGCTGACAGGCACTCCAGTTCAAAATAACCTTCGAGAGATGTGGGCGCTGTTTGACTTCGCTTGCCAAGGATCACTCTTGGGAACCTCCAAAACGTTCAAAACCGAGTATGAGAATCCAATCACACGAGCAAGGGAGAAAGATGCCACACCTGGGGAGAAAGCTCTCGGATTGAGGATTTCTCAGAACTTGACAGACATCATCAAACCGTATTTTCTCAGGCGAACCAAAGCCGATGTTCAGCAGAAAAAACTAAAGCTTGAAGAAGGCTTTGAAGAGGAAGAAGATCAAGAGAATAAATGTCCAAATGCTAGAGAAGGCGTAGAGATGCCGTCGCTGACACGCAAAAACGATCTAATTGTGTGGACATACCTCAGCTCGGTGCAGGAGGACATTTATAACAAGTTCATCTCGCTGGATCAGATTAAGGAGTTGCTGACGACTACCAGGTCGCCGTTGGCGGAGCTCACAGTGTTAAAGAAGCTCTGTGATCATCCCAGACTCCTGTCTCAACGAGCTGTGATTCAGCTGGGCCTGGAGCGAGGTTCTGACTCTGAATTAGTCCATTCAGATGAGAGCGAGTCGGCTGTCAGTCAGATCGATAACATTTCTGATCACACTTTAATTGAAGAGTCAGGGAAGCTGCAGTTTGTTGTCTCTCTTATGGAATGCCTCAGAGAAGAGGGTCATCGGACTTTGATTTTCTCCCAGTCAAGGAAGATGCTGGATATTATGGAACGCGTCCTGCGTAACAGAAACTTTCGCCTGCTGCGATTGGACGGAACCGTGACACAACTGGCCGAAAGAGAGAAACGTATCTCGCTATTCCAGACCGACAAGCGCTACACAATCTTCCTCCTCACCACTCAGGTGGGTGGTGTCGGAATCACACTGACTGGAGCAAATCGTGTTGTGATCTTTGACCCCAGCTGGAATCCTGCCACAGACGCTCAGGCTGTGGATCGGGCTTACCGAATTGGCCAAACCGAAAACGTCATCATCTACAGACTCATCACCTGTGGCACTGTGGAGGAGAAGATCTATCGCAGACAGGTTACGAAAAATCACTCTACCATGGTTTATTTAATCAATGATTTTGTCTTGTGACCATGGACCACAAAACCAGTCTAATGTTGCATTTTACCCATGTATTGTAGGTTAAAATGATTGATTTTTCTTTCATACCAATAATATTAAGTATAGATGATCCATGATGATATTTATACATTTTGTACTGTAAATACAGTAGGGCTGGGTGATTTGGCCTCAAATCAAAATCTTGATTAATTGAACATTTTAACTCAATTAAGAGTAATGACAACTATCTACTGTCTATGATTATTTATTGAACATCAGCATTGAACAACTACAATTAAAGTGCACATTGCCTAAAACCAACAGTTACTTTTCTTATAAAAAAAGTGAAAATAAATAACTTGCACTAATGGAAACAAAATGAATAATTTTCAATGTTTTTCATATTAAAAGTAAAAAATAACCAACATCTCATCCAAATAAAATAACTCTTGCATCTTCTGTAAACAATGTTTTAATGTAAATAACAATTTTACTGTAATGGTAAATATGTCGTCTAAAGGCATCTCTGGCGCAGCTTCCAATCGCCGTCAATGTAGTGTAAACGTGCGACTTGTACTTACATTTCAACAAAGGTTCTGCCCATGTGTTTGATGCAGAAGTATAAATCAATTTAATACAAAAATGTTCAAATCCAACTTAAATATTTTCCAATCTTAAAAAACAATGCATCAAGGGAACGTTTATTTCTTCAGCTTTTAGATAAATCTCAGTTTCCAAATGTTTCACACATAAATGGTTTTGTGGTAGAGTCACATATTGTGATAATTTGTTTGCTTGTTTTTCAATGCACATTGAAGGCAAGTCCCAGAAAAAATAAAGGGCTTGCATAATCTGGTAGCCCTAAGTCTCAGGGTTATTTTTTTTTTTTTTTTTCTTCTGGCTACCAAAATCAATCTATACCTTGCTAGGTATGGGCCAGGATAAGATTTATTCCGGTATGATATGGTATGATTCGGTATGATAAACTTAGATAAAAATATCACGGTTTTACGGTGTTGTGATTACTGCTCTAAAATATATTCTTTTTAAATGTCTGGGTAAAGAACAAAAACTTTTTTTTCTCATTTGAACATATATTTAATTTTGAGAAACATTTAGAATATTTTGGAGCAGTAAACATGCCAGGCTGAATAATTCAAATGAATCATCAAGTTCTGCTCTCTTTCTCATCTTGTTTCAAACACAGATTTTCTTTACAATTTAAAATGGCATCTTTGGATATCTTTTCTGCCGGAAATAGTGTTGCCGTAAAAAACTAACAAAAAAGTATATAAAATCTTACATATACCATAAGAATAGTATAGCATAAAATTTGGTGGTATTAAAACCTTGACTTTTCCAAACTTTGGTTTTAGGGTTGTGCGATTATGCAAAAGAAACCTATCACGATTTTTTTAACAATATTGCAATTTCGTTAATCATGATTTTGACACACAAAGAAATTTTACAGTGTATCTGAAACATATTTCCAATAGAAAATAATTAGATCTTTATCAAAGGCCTGTAACATGTCTCTAATACAGACATAACAACAAAAAAATCACCTAGTATAGGTAATAAATTGTCTCTAGAGCAGACCTATGGTCAAACAAATAAATATATCAAAATCATAAATATAACAAAAATTCCTTATTTTGAGTAAAAGTGTTCGGCTTGTGTGCATATTGGGAGTGACACACGCACGTGTATATATGTGACTGACAGGTCATACAAATTACATGTTTCAACGATGCATCAGAATTCATGTATTCACAGTAATCCCACACCATAGATGACATAGTTGACTTTTTTGGGCACCAAACCCTCTTGTGCTGAACTCATCATCATTCCTGTTTATGCAGGCTATTTGTCATTAAGTTCAGTCTCCTGTTCTCATGCTCTGTTTAGGTGAGCTTTGTTATGATTGGTTCAAACAGCATACAGTGGAAAATCGTGCTGTTAGGCGATTTAGAAATTGTGCATGTTCAAATCGTGATTTCGTTACGATTTCAATTAATCACACAGCCCTACATGGTATACCATAAAAAAATGTTATCGCCCCATGCCAACATTGAAGGCAAGTCCCAGAAAAACTAAAATTATTAAATCACAATGTGTTCCACTAAGCCGTTTAAATTTGGAGTGTTTAGGACATTCTTTTAAAGCAATCGTATTCATGTTTCACAATTCTATTGCATTTTAATGTAAAATGCATCCCTTTTAATAAAAAAAAAAAACTAAATTAAAACTTTTTTTGAAGTTTTGCCAAAGCAATATTTTTAAACCATAATTTACTTCACTCTGTTTTTTTCAGGTGTTTAAAGACTCTCTCATCCGGCAGACAACCGGTGATAAAAAGAACCCGTTTCGATACTTCAGCAAGCAAGAGCTGCGTGAACTGTTCAAACTGGAGGACACACGCTCTTCCTCCACTCAGCAGCAGCTTCAGGCAATGCATGCACAAAGCCGCCGCTCTGACACCAGCCTGGACCATCACATCGCTCGCCTCCACAGCATGGAGATGTTCGGCATTTCTGACCATGACCTCATGTTCACCAAAGAGCCAGCAGCTGACGAAGACGACCCAGAGGATGCAGAGTCCCATCACTACATACAAACACGTGTCCAGAAAGCTCAAGAGCTCATGCAGGCGGAATCAGAACTGCACGGTCAGCTCTTGGACAGCATGGCCCAAAACACTGAACCTGCTTGGCTCAGGCAGATGGGGCAACCGAATTCATCCATTAGAGACCGACCGGCTCCTCCACGCATTAAAAATGAGCCGGTGACTGTGGATCTGACTCATAACAGTTTCGATGAGCCAGAATTTGAGGAAGATGAGCAGAACCTCCCATCAGCTGAGGATGCAGAGATGGAAACTGCAAGTGAAGACGTGGAAGTTATTGGTGATGAAGATTTAGGAGACAAAGTTATCAGCAGCGAAGTGGAAGTTGTTGGTGAAGAGGTGGAAGTTGTTGCTGAAGAAGTGGAAGATGCTGGTGAAGTGGAAGTCGTAAGTGAAGAAGTGGAAGGTGTTGGTGTAGAAGTGGAAGATGTTGGTGTAGAAGTGGAAGATGCTGGTGTAGAAGTGGAAGATGCTGGTGTAGAAGTGGAAGATGCTGGTGTAGAAGTGGAAGATGCTGGTGAAGTAGAAGTTGTAAGTGGAGAAGGGCAAGTGCAACCCAAATCTCCTCAATCTGGAGGGGAATGGAATTTGCAAATTGTAAAAACAGAGGTTAGCCCTATTGCTGAAAAGTTTGCTGACGTGATCACACTGGATGACACATCAGATGAGGCAGACAGCTCAGATTTTAATACAGAATCCAAGCAACAAAACTCTTCACAACGCTTCCAAAGTCCTTCTCTCCAGTTTCCAAAGTTGGATGATCTTTCAGGAGCATCCAATACTCTTGGTAACGAAGAGGTCGAGCCTGAGAAGTGCCATTCACAAGTCCTCTCATCACCCTTGTCTCAACATGAAGCCACAACAGATGAGCCTTTTAAAGCGGAGATGGAAATGCCTCATGGAAACTTCAACCTGTTGCTTGAAGATAGTGCAGACATGTATTTCCCTGAAGACGAGGAAGTTCATGAAGTGGAGGAATCTGCAGCAGAGGAAAGTCCTGAGTTTCAGCTTCAGATGGATGTCAGTGGAGAAAGGCTAGAAGAACCAAGTATCAACCATGACAAACAAAACAATGGGGAGTTTGTCAATTATAACGACAGTGAAGTCAGCAAACGTGAATCTCTTTTAAAGATCCGTTCTACTCCGAATGAATCTGTGGATGATTCCTTTGTGCATTCTGTGCGGACGAAGAAGAGGCAGGTCATCTCTGACACTGAAGAAGAAGAAGAAGAGGAGGAGGAATCAGAGAAGCCATGTTTAACTAGCAGTCCGTTTATTGATGCAATCAGCAGGTTGGGTTCTTCTACACCCAAAGCTGTTTTGGTTGATGGTGCAAGACTCCGTCGCAGTTTAAATGCTTCCGTGGCATCAAGAAGGTCCTTTGTCGTGTCCTTGCTGGAGAATGAGTCTGATGAGGAGTCTAACGAAGATAAAACCAAATCCTCAGGAGCCAGTGAGACTTGTGCAGATGAATTGGTGGAGGAAGTACAGACATCAAGTGGAGATAACTCCAAATCCTATGAGACATCTGAAGCCAATGGAACTCTTGCTGATGAATTGGTGGAGGAAGAAGGGGAGTACAGAGAAGGTAAAAATACATCTGATAAGGTTTCTGAAAGCAATGAAACTCATTCTGAAGAATTTGCAGAGGAAGAAAAGCCCAGTGGAGATAAAAGCGAATCTTATGAGATATCCGAAGCCAGTGAAACTCATACAGATAATTCAGAAGAAGAGATTATTGGGGATCACACAGGATCCTACAAGATATCTGAGTCCAGTGAAGCAGATGAGTCGGTGGTGGAAGAAGAGGAACCCAGTGGAGAGACTTTAAACACAGAAGAGTCTGAAATGGGTGAAGAGGAGGAAAGCGCAGAACTAATAGCAGGCCAGGAGCAAGAAGAATGGCACAGCGCTGTGCTTGAATCCACTGGTGATGTTGAACTAGATTCTAATGAAACAATGGACCAGTGCGCTCCTAAAACAGTCCCTGTGGAAACGCATGTTCTTCCTGTCAGCTCCACAAACACCGCTGCTGAAGCTTCTGACAACAAGTACAATTTGCTGGTTCTGTCTGGGAAACAAAGTTTGGCAGAAGGGAGGAAGCAGGAAGCTCTGGATTTCTTTCTAAAGGCAATAGACATTAATACTGGCGATCCTGAGATCCAACTCTTGATTATTCAGCTGTACAGACAACTGAGCCAGTAAAGAGATTCAAATGTGCACAGCCATATTTAATTGTTTACTATATCTGTAACATGAATAAACTCTTTAACTTTTTTTCTCTGTCTGTTAAAACAAAATAGACTGAATTTGACTAAAACATTCAGCACTGCCCGAAAAATTTATGTTCTGAAAAATGTTTGCTGCTTACATTTCTTGTTGCTTTGGTTTAACAGTACTGTTCACTTTATCTGAGATAAGACATACAATAATCTTGGAGAAAAATTAATAAATTCTCAACTGTTTTGTAACTTGCTTCCTGTGTTTTCCTGCATTCCAGGTTTAATCTACAAGTTAGATTTGCATTTCCTGAATATCTAATCTCATCTAAGGGTGCTTTCACACCTGTGAATCGATTCAGTTGTTCCGAAACTGAGATTACAATTGTTACATTGTTGCTCTTTGCTCTTGGAGTGGTTTGCTTTCACACTGCAAAGTTTCTAATCGGACCAAAATAGCTAAAACAAGTCACGTGCGAGTAAACTCTCCTTACATTGGTCAGAGTGTCAGGGTTTATTTTGCAGCGTCCCGCTAAGCTGTCAGAAGAGGTGGTGGTTTGGTGGTGATTGACAGGGTGCGCACGCGATGTGTCTGAGGAAAGATGCGGTGGGGAGGGGTGAGAAGGGTGCGCGACGATGCCTATTTGAGGACCGGGAGGGAGACGCGAGATTAACGGGAGATCATCACTCGTTTGCGGGCATCCGGAGACTCGCGAAACTTCCCGCCCTACTCATAATTCTCTCTTCATATAGCCGTATGCCTATTACATATCCCTAAAACACTGATATAACCGCGCTCGGATCGGATCGCTTTCTCACTGTAATCGAACCGCTCCAGGGTTTGTTTCAATCGAGCCGAGACCACCTCATTCAAGCGATCTCGGAGCGATTACTTTGGCGCGGAACAAAGCGCGATTGCCCTGTTCTCATATGCCAAACGAACCGCACTAACTGGGCAGTCGAGACACGTTCCGAAACAAAAGTGTAGGTGTGAAAGCACCCTAATACCTTTCAGGAATAAATGAGCAGTTAAGGGATGTGATGTGATATGGATTTCTGTATTTTCCAAGCTCAATGGGTGACACATGTAATTTGTGTTAATACGAAGTTATACAAAGTTTATCCAACGACCTGCTTCATTACGGATGTCTTTTAAGAATGTAGTTATAAACAAATCTATGCTACTGTGTATATAACAAAATATGTGCAGTCCTTAAATGTGATGAAGCTGCTGACAATATGCAAGATTATGAAATTGATTTAAATGTGTGTGCGGCTGTGCACTTTTCCCCGATCACATTTGCATGTGACGACCAAGTGTGCTCTATGTACATAATAAATACAGCTGCAGGACGCACACTTGTTATTATTTTCTGATAGTCATCTGTCCTTTTGTCTTCATCAATTCAGTGCTACAGCCGAGTACCTCAAATTTAATACCTGAAAGTGTCAAGTTTAGATGATATTACAAAAATTTCAGCGCATTTTACCGACGTGTTTTTAAAAGCAGTTCACGGAGAGAAAGACAAAATGCCTACACTGTTTGTTTTCCTTATTTTGCAAAAGCACACACGTTTGTTGTTGTTGTGAGTGTACACAACAAAAAGTAGACACATAACAGATTCAATTGATCTTATCTGTACGATCAAAACTGAAAGTGTTATTTAAGTTCATTTCAGCAGTTTGATGCCACCACAGGTCAAAACGCGTATACGCGGTCTTCGACCCCAGAGGGTTAACATTCGACCCTAAAAACAATATCATACATCATTAAAAAGAGTTTATTACTTTCACTTTTCCTCGGCTTTTTAAGTTTTAATCAATTATCAAATATAATTTTAAAACTCCGCGAATACAAAACGCACACAGATGAGACATGTATTTCTAGAAAGCTTAAAGTACTACTTTATTATTTTATGCAACAGCCTTACATTTAAAAGAGAAACATAAGGGCGATCCAATGCAAAAAGACCCCAGCCTATAATTTGTTCCAGATGTTTTCTTTCCCTTATTTATTTAATTATTTATTTGTTTGGCGCATGTACTCATGTCCGATTGGAAAACTGTCCCCGCCTCTCCTTTCACTCCGCCCGAAGCCCCGGCTGGCCCTCATTGGCCCAAGGTATTCGGCGGGCCAAAAAAGGCGGACCGCTGGAACCAAGAAAGCCCAAACGATAGTGGAAACGCGGCTAGTAATGCTCAACCAACACTTACTTAATCACTTAATTAACTCATTACTTCAACTAAAATGGAGTAAGTTCACAGTACTCGTATAGATTAGTTTTTAAACTCAAATGGTTTGTAGCTATCGGTTTCCTCAAACAGTTTGAGTTGCCTTATCTTATTGGGTTCTACAGTACTCAGTTGATTTGAGTTCTCTTCATTTATTGGATTTTACTGTGCTTAAATGTGCTGCGTGTACTCAAATAAATTAAGTTCACAGTACTCATATAGATTCGTTTTTGAACTCAAATGGTTTGTTGCAATAGGTTTTCTCAAATGGTTTGAGTTACCTTAACTTTTTAGGATTTTACAAGGTACACTGTAAAAAGTGATTAGTTACTTAAAGCGAGTAAACCAATTGCCTTAAAAGCAACAAGTTGACTTCACAAAGATAATGTAAGTAAACCCTTTGTAACTTGGAACTGTTATGGGGCTCTATTTTAACAGTCCATGCGCAAAGTGCAAAACGCAGGGCACAAACACTTTCAGGGCGTGTCAGAATCCACTTTTCCTAATTTAAGGATGGGAAAATCCGCTTTGCATCGTGGCGCATGGTCTAAAAGGGTTGAGTTTATTTTCTTAATGAGTTATAGGTGTGTTTTGAGAATAAACCAATCAGAGTCTCATCTCCCATTCCCTTTAAGAGCCAGTTGCGTCTCGCCATAGCGCATTTGCTATTTACTTGACAAAAAGTAAGATTAAGTGGAAAAACTGAGCATTTCACTAGCAAGAAAACAGTTAAACAGAAGAGAGAGACTTATAGGGTACCACCTGTCAAAAAGTTTGATGGATTGTAGCCCCGCCCACTAAGGCGGGACTTCCGGTCTAAGCCCCGCCCCTTTAATATAAACTTTATAGTTCCGGTAATTAGATTCTTATCGGTTTAATATAAAATAATAGTTCCGGTAATTAGATTCTTATCGGTTTAATATAAAATAATAATTCCGGTAATTAGATTTTTATCAGTCTAATTAAATTAATAGGCTATTTCCAGGTAATGAAAATATTGGTAATTAAATTCTAATCAAACAGAAATAAAATTATTATTATAATAATAACGGTAATTAAATTACTGTTATTAGAACCATTATTTTATATTTTTAGCTATTTGACTAAATTATATTATTATATTACAATATATTATATTATATTAAGTTATATAAAATTAATATTTTATTAAATAAAATTATGTATTGTATTATAATATATTATATTAAGTTATATTAAATCATTATTTTATTAACTTATTTTGTAATTATACCATATTATATAATATTATTATATTATATTATTATTATAATATTTATATTAGATATTAAATTAAATTATATTATATTATATATCATTATTATTCTATTCTATTCTATTATATTATATTATATTATATTATAATTAATAAACTATTAACATAAACATTTCTTTATGTTCATACCGATGTTTCCTCTGTGTCTCAGTCTGGGCCTGAGCGTGTGAGTGAGTGATGATAAGGAAAACTTTGGATAACATCCCGTCAAGTGCTTGTGAAAGATAGATTTATATCAGATGTAGAATATGTATATCTGATTGTATGTGTTGGGTGTCTCCCACTAACTACTATATGTTGTTAGGTGATTAGAAAGTGTACTGATATCTATATGTCCATATGCAGTCAACTGTATGCATATGTATGTGTTTGTGTGTGCGTACGTGCGTGCGTGCGTGCGTGCGTGCGTGCATGTGTGCGCGCTTGAGCGAACTTGGGTCTGGCTTTGTATGCTTGAATCCAAAGACACAGTATTTACTAAAAATACTCATTAATAGGTTATGTTGTTTTTCACATTATTACTACAATAATACATATTTTAAGACACACAAACATTTTGATGTATCTTTGTCGGAGTATTAAATTAAAATATGTTTACAATATTTTTTGTCGCCTTAGTCCCTTTTTAATTCCTGGGTGGACACAGCGGCATGAACCGCCAACTTAACCAGCAAGGTTTTGCGCAGCGTATGCCCTTCCACCCGCAACCCATCTCTGGGAAAATGTTTACAATATTAATCCAGTAAATAACACATCTTAATCTTTATTGACAATAAATTGTCACACCTTTTAAAACAACGTTATCTAAAATGTAATATTCTAAAATGTTGAAAAACACAGATGTAAATTCAAGTTGTCTTTATAATTAATGAAAACTTTTATTATGAAAAACAATTTAAAATGAAAGTTTTTCCTTTGACTAACATGTTTTCAATTTATTTACATGCATGTCCTGTAATTTATGGCACACATTGTAATACAGTTAATCCAAAGCCTAATGTTTTGAGCACTGGTCATCACTGGTGTTGGTTTAAAAAATCAACATAAAATATTTACTAAAAAGGACTTATCACTCTTTAGACATTATTGTTTTTTCTGTTTCAAAAGATAAATAAAATGTAATTTTATTACAATAAATTGTAGTAATTGCATTACTAGACAACTTAGTTACTGAATTTTAAATTCAAACTGTTTTTAATTCATTGCAAATACTTGATCATATAAAGAGAAATATGTTAATTATACTGAATAATGGAATAACACTGATATTTATTTTAAGAAGAAAATTGGCTCTCAGTTTATCTAAAAACAGTACACAGCAAATTCATCAGAGTTAAATTCTCGGTGTTGAAGCATTTCAGAGTAAAGTGTTGACGTTAAAGAGTTAGATTTTGATAAATGAATATAATAAGAGTTAGAATTGATTTTATTCAGTGCGAAATCAAGGAGTTATCTTTTTTACACTTGGTGGTGTTATTTCCAACATCCGGGAATTCATGCAGCCCCAGTCACTGAAGAATTTTCCAGACGCCATTTTCCATCTGAAGTTTAGAACAGCAACTGGTGAGTCAAACTACCTAAATGTTGGTATTTTACTGACTTTCTTTAAGGAAATACAGTTGTAAACATATTGTTAAGTTAATAACTTTAGAATGTAGTGACAATTTTAATCTTCTGCGGTTCATTCATGGTCGTTTGTGTATCTAGCTTAACTGCATTACTATCGACTT